GAAACACAAATGAGCTCTGCTCCCTGTTTGGTGAACTGTTGCTAATTTATTCAAGGACTTGTTGAAGGCCTTTCTTTTCCTAGTGCACTTTCTAGCCTGTGCTTGCAAACACATCCAAAACCAAAACAAGACTGAGGAAGAATGTTCTTTGGGGGATGGGAAGAAAATGGCCCCTTATTGTAGTTTTAGCTGCATAAAACAGCCATCAACTGCCCCTTGAGGGGATCTTTATAGAATCCTGAATGGTCAGGAGGCCTACCACTACCCTCAGACCTTTAAATACACGGGGTTGTGTGAATGGTGTGCGATTGGAGGCAACAGAAGGAAATATGGGAATTAGGCAAATAGGGAACACTTTTGTTTAACCAACAAATAACAAGCACTCGGGCTGTATCGGCTTTTCCTTTATTGGTGTCCCTTAAACCACAGGCCTTATAGCAACCCTTCTCACTGGAGGTCCCCCACCCAGGAGCTGGTTATGGGGATGTTCTCTCTGCTCCCCAGGCAGAAACTGCTTCCCACCCAAGCCAGTAGGTGTTAATCTGCTTAAGGCTGCCTGAGTGGATGCATTAGATTGCTGGCACATGGCCATTTAGAGGTTTTGTTCCCTAGACCATGGGGGCCCATTTTCCCAGAAGTTGTATGAGCTTTTTGTTTGATAAGAGCTATTCCTAGCAGCACTGGCTCCTTCTACAACAGATTCAATGGAATCAAAGTTTACTGAACACCTACTACTTGGCAGGCCCAATGCTGAGGATGGAGACTTGAATTAACAGCTGAAGCTCAGGAGCTCAGACAAAAGTAACTTCTGCTGCGTTCCCTCGGGTGATGGCTGTCTCACCAAGTCTTCCTACTGCCTAGAAAAGCCGTCTGCCTTCCTTCACTGCCCGCTCTATAGCCATGACTTTGCCTGCTGCCCCGAGACACCAGGGCTTGAAGAGTTAGCACTTGCTCATTATATTATCAAACTTTTTAAGCCCTCCCATTACAGTTCTGGTAGTGAGTCTGTTTACATTTTTATGAATTCTTTTCACAGAAGCAGTATGCATTTGTTATATAAACACACACACACACACACACACACAAACCCCCAAAATCTAAAAAATCAACTTTTTCACCCAGAAATAGCACACTTAGTAAAAAAAAAAGGGGGGGATTAAAAATTTTAAGAGTGCTATAATTTCATGGTATTGTGTGTGTGTGCGTGCGTGTGTGCGCATGTGTGTGCACACGTGTGTGTGTGTGTGCGTGTGTGTGCGCGTGTGCGTGCGCGTGTGTGCGTGCATGTGCGTGCGTGTGCGTGTGTGTGCACGTGTGTGCGCGTGTTTGTGCGCGTGCGTGCGTGTGTGTGTGTGTGTGCGCGTGCGTGTGCGTGCATGTGCAGTCTGTACACGGGCACACCCATGTCAGGTGGTTTCCTCTGTCAGTGCTCTCTACTTTGTTTTGTTAGGAAGATCCCTCTCTGACCTGGAGCTGGCTGGACACTGAGCTCCAGGGCCCTCCTGTCTTCACCTCCCAGGGCTGGGATTACAGGCACACAACCTCTCCCAGCTTTTTACATCCACCTAAAACTCTGAACTCCGGTCCTCACACTTGTAGAGCAATCACTTTCCAATGGAGCCGTCTCTTCCGCCCCTCTGAAGAGACTGAAAGCACAGAGAAGGGGCCATACTTAATCCAGTCACCTGATCACCTGATCACCTGATCATCCTGGGACTTCCTCTTCTGATGTTTGTGCCACTCTTAGGAATGATGTCTAACAACACTCCTGGTGAAGCCCCTCTGTTCTGTCGGGTAGTTTGTGAGTAATTTCTAACAATGCCCGGGGAAGAATATGACAGATGTGGGATGCAGAAAGAAGGGGGCGTCCTAGTTTTGTGAATGAGGGTACCAGTGGTGCCACAGAAACACATTCTTTAGAAGTTTGCTGCAATCGGCTACCTTACAGTCACAGTTGAGCATTCCACCCCAAGGGTGCTCTGGGCTTGGGGTGGCACATGGTGGCTGAAGCCCACAGAGGAGCAAAGCCACTCACCTCGTGGCCAGGGAGTGGAAGAGAGTGAAGAGGAGGCCAGGCTCCCATAATCCCCTTCATGGACATGCTGTCATGACCCCCACTAGGCCCTGCCTCTTAAACACTCTAGGCATCACGCCTTTAACACTTGAACCTGTCATCTCAGCAGTAGAGAGGTTGAGACAGGAGGACCAGGAGTTTGAAAGCAACCTGGATTACAGAGCAAGACTCTGTTTCAAAACAATAAAACTACCATAAAAAAAAAATACAGTGTCTGTGATAAGACTGGCCCCAAAAGCTTGTCTTCTTCCTTAGAATCTGGAATGGGGGACATAGAAATATACTGCAAGGGCCTTCCAGGAGGGCTGGGGTGGGGGTGAGGATGTCTGCAGACAAAAACACTTCCGCATAAGTCTGAGTTCAGTCCTGACCTCTACCTGCAGGTGGTGAGATGCACCCCAACAATAATAGCAATTATTATGTTTTTATTTCAAAAGCAAAATTTACAGTTAAAAACAAAAACAAACAAACAAAACAAAAAGAAGGGACTGGGGAAACAACTAAGTTGGAAGGTCGCCGGAGAGGCACATGTCTGTAATCCCATACTAGGGAGCCAGGTTCATGCATCCCTGGCTCACCTACCAGCCAGCCTAGCTGGATCAGAGGCTGAAATAGTTCTGAAAAAGTCCTCGCCTCAAAATTAAAACAAACAAACAAACAAATGGGGGGAAACAACTGAGCAAGACGCCCGACATTAATCTCTAGCCTCAACACACATGCCTACCCCCCAAACATGTACACACACACACACACACACACACACACACACACACACACAAAAGGACACTAGAACACCTGAACACATGAAGAGTAGCGCCTGAGTCTCATTAAAAGCCCACTGCACATCAGGTTCTTTTTCACTTATTATCTTAATCCTTACAATAGTCTTGTAAGATAGAGATAACTACTCCTATTTTACAGAGAATGAAGCAAAGGTTCCTAAGATTTGAGAGGCCTGCTTAGTTTCTCCCAGCTAAGACATGGTGGAAGCAGGTCTCAGAGCACAGAGACACAGGCAGAGAGAGGGGAAAGTGTGGGGCTGACCTGGGGTCCGCTGGCCACCCACGTGTTCTGAGACCTCGGGTAAGCCAACCATCATCCTATGAAGCCTGCCTGCCTCGGCCAGTGCTGGTACAAGGGGCTATCTTAAGAATTGAGATGAAGTCCACTATGGGGGGTACTGATGACATGGAATGGCTTAGTGTGGCCCTCTGAGAAGCTCCCACACATTCTGATTCCAAGGACAATGGGCACATGTTCCCAGTCATGAGGCTCCTAGTAGCGTCAGACCCCAGGAAAGCCAGGGCCAGGATAAAGGGCACTTAAAGGGAGATGGACATTTAGGAAATGCTATTTCACCAGATTCCTAATTACACTTTTATCTCCAAGCTAGCTCTTATTCCTTCTTCCATGTTCATGTGCTGCTACATGTTTCCCTGTTTTTATTTTATCCCTGCAGGCCAGAAGAGGGCACCAGATCTCATTACCAATGGTTGTGAGCCACCATGTGGTTGCTGGGAACTGAACTCAGAACCTCTGGAAGAGCAGGCCGAGCTCTTAACCTCTGAGCCATCTCTCCCATCCTGACAGACTGAATTCTAATATGCAAACTCTTCCTTTGTCTTTCTGTAAGAGTTTTAAGATAGAAATGGGCTTATGCAGATAATACAGGATTTTGGTTTGTTTCATCTTTTTTAAAATTTAGCTTTATTTTACTTGGTGTGTGTGGGTATTTTGCTTGCCTGTATGTATATGCACTGCTTGTTTCCTGGTGTTCATGAAGGCCAGAAGAGGGGATGGATGCCCTGGGACTAAATGGCTGTGAGCAGCCACGTAGGTGCTGGTGATTGAACGTAGGTTCTGAAAGAGCAGTCTTAACCACAGAGCCATTTCTCCAGCCCCAGTTTTATTTGCTCTTAAAAATGGCACATCAGCCAAGTCTCCAGCTCTCTGTGTACCCAAAGGGACACTGAATCCTGTTCCTTAAACATTGCAAAATATCTTAATATCTTAAAATTTATCAGAAATTAAGTTGTCTAATAAGTTTACTTCTTTTAGCAAGTTTTAAAATTCTTATAAAAGTTCTAACCATCATATAAAATATTAGCCTTTAGAGAACCTTTGTCAGGCCCCCTCTCAATCCCTACCCACCCACCCCACCCACCCCCAGACCTTAGAAGTTTCAGGTATCCAATTAAAAGGCAGTAAGTGGAATTAGCAATGTGCTGGGATAGGCCACAGGGCACTGACCACCCATCTTCAGCAGGAGAGAGGAGAGCGCGGGGTCTGCTTACTTTACTCTAAGCGGTTTGCTGGCTCTGTAACACCTGTCGAGTAGAGCATGAAAAGTTCATTTGCAGTGCTTGCCTGGGCCACGCTGTACGAGTCTTTGCGTTCTTTTTCTTCCTCTCTTCCTGTCTTTCCCATTTTTTTACTGAGTGTATTTGGACAGACAGGCACTCGCCCCTAAATGCCAGGTTGGGCAGACTGACACATACCTAGCCTCAAGGAATTTTCACTCTGTTGTGGGGGAGGGATGGGCATTAATCAAACCACATACCTTCCAGACTGGGGAACTGAATATTGACCTAGGTCCCACAAAGGCCTACAGCGCACCAAAGGGGCCTCACCCAGTCTGGAGTTAGCAGACCACATGCCTCTGGACTCATAGTGAGGTAAGAATGAGCATTCTAGGCAGTGGAAGCAGCGTGTTCCAGGTCCTGCAAAGCTAGAGATTGCGGTGCTCTGGAGAAAATAATTCTGTGGCTAGACCAGGGGCTGTAGGGAGACTTCTGGTAAGATGAGCTGGACCAGAGAATGCCTTGTAATGAATGATTTTGACAGCAGCTTAGAAGCAGTGGGAAGCCACTGTAGCATTCTCAGGACAAACTGTTAGTGACCAATGCAATGTCATCTGTCTCTGTAGGAGCAATGCAGTCATATACGTGGTCGCTGACATACACAGTGACGACAGCTGCTGGGTCCCCAGCTGAGAACTCCCAACAACTTCCCTGTATGAGGAGCACCCATGTGCCTTCTTCTTCTGTCACACACAGGATACCAGTCTACTCCCACAGAGAGGAGCACGGGTAGGTGACTTGCTCGGCACTGAACTTCAGAAGGGTTCAGAAATCCTCGGATTACAGGACAGGCTACCCTCTGGTTAGTCTGCACACCTTACTCAGCTATAACCTTACAGAACTGTCTGTATCACCCCCACAATATGCAGATAAGAAAGGAGGGAAGGGCGAGTGGCCCCACAGCTCCCCAAGGCAGCTGGCACCTTGTGGAGCCCTAGCTGAGCATGTCTCACTCCAGAACTGGAGTGCCAGGCAGTCCCCTTCCCAGCAATCCCGTGTAGCCCTCTGCTCACAGTGTGTCCTTGTCTCTTTGGACTCTAGTTAGAGGTGATCTCCTCCTCCTGTGGTAAGAAGGACTCTAAAGGACAGTGTGCTCCAGGTATTACCTGACCTTGAGCAGCCCTTGGCTTGGCGCTCTGTCTATCAGGAGTCACCAGCTACTCTACACTCACTGAGCACTGGAATACTCTTGACATTGAGGAGAATGACACAGTGCTGGAGCTCCTTGCGGGCCTGCAGACTGGCTGTAGAAGTCCCCAAATAGCTGGGTGCAGGAGCATCTTGGGCAACTCCCACATGGGTGGCCCAGCAGAAGGTGGAAGACCTGAATGTGTGCATGGGCCTGTAGGTCAGTATGTGCCCACGGTTCAGATCCCCTGGGATCTCCATGGGCAGTCATTATTCCCCGAGGCATTTCCCTACATAATCTCAATGCACTCTTAGAATTGCATTTCAGACCTTTTCTTAATCTACCAGGGTGTTAGAATAGAGATTCAAAAGGCCACAGGTCCAGTTCTTTGCCAGGACAGTCTTAGGATACGCAGTCATGGTAGTGGCAGCCTGTGTGCATGTGTGATTCTCCCCTCTCCCGTGTGCATGTGGCATTGCCCTCACATGAGTGGTCCCAGTGTAACCCTGCGCATCATTTCACAAATGTGAAAAATGGGACCATGAGTAGCTCCAGGTCACACTGCTAGACAGTGGCAAGGCGTGGCTCAGAACCAGGGGCCTGGGCTGCTGCTTCTCAGCATGAAGTTCTTTTGGCTGTTCACCACCACGGCCCAACAAAACATCCAAGTGATGCAGAAACCCAAAGTCCAAAGCAACAGCCTTCTCCCAGTTGACTGCAAGATGCGCCATGGGCTTTTGACCCAATGGGAGGAGAGGTTTCCATCATAGTAACATTTTAATCAAAGCCAGATTGCACCCCCTGAGCGCACACTTGCCAAGAATGCAGAGGGAAAAGGAAAACCGACCTGGGGTTTTAGCCACCACAGCAAAGCCAATAGGGTGGAGTGGAAGGAATCAAGTAGACAAGTAGAAGAAAAACGGGGGGGGGGGGGGGGGACAAAAAGAAAAAAGAGATGACTTTTTTTAAGGTGCCAAACTGACTGTTCTCTGTTATGACTCACAGTATTCATTGTGCTCGCTGAATTTCAGGTACACAGGAAGCTATAACTACGGGAGCTATGGCAACCAGCATCCTCACCCAATGCAGAGCCAGTATCCAGCCCTGCCTCATGACACGGCCATCTCTGGGCCACTCCACTACTCCCCTTACCACAGGAGCTCTGCACAGGTGAGTGTAGGGAAGGAGATCTTGCTGGCTCAGAGTACTTGGTGCCCAATCAAGTCAACTAAAACAGTTAATAAGTCCATTGTGTATGCCACCTAGGTCCCCAAGGACAGTCAGCTCTGTCCTTGCCCTCAAGTGGTAACTGGCCTTGGGTGCTTGTGTTAACGTGTCCCTTTCTCTTATACATCCAAGTTGCTTAGTGGTTCTCTGAAGTTCTTGACTCTATTTGACCTCTCTGATGGATCCAGCTAGCTGTGTTTCTGTTGGCCCATTGGACATTCTAGTTATCTTAGACACCCTCTTATGTGTTGTCCCAAGCACGACCAACTGATCTTCAGTTCCATTCAATTGTTTGGTTTGGTTTGGTTTGAGACACATGTCTCTTTCTACATAGTCCTGGCTATCCTGGAACTCACTGTAGACCAGGCTGGCCTTGAAATCATGGAAAGCCATGCCCCCCTGCTTTCTGAGTGCTGGGATTAAAGATGTGTGTCACCACACTCAACTGCAATTCTGTATTCTAAAATGTCATTGACATCCCGGCTGTCCTGCCTTAGCTCAAGGCCTTCCTAACTTAGGTAATAATTGGCCTTCATGATGGTCTCTGTCTCTAAAGTTTGTCCTGTCTGCAGCTGCAGGGGTCTTTTGAAAAAAAGAAAAACAAAACGTTGAGTCTGGTGCCATATTTGCAGTTCTTTCCTCAGCTTACATCTCAATATTCAGTTCTTTCCTGGCTGCCCTACCACCCTCTATGCCATGTAGAGCCACGTAGATCCATGTAGGGCCATGTAGATCCATGTAGGGCCATGTAGATCCATGTAGGGCCATGTAGATCCATGTAGGGCCATGTAGATCCATGTAGAGCCATGGCAGCTGAGCACATTCCCACTGTGTGTACTCCATGTAACCACGTCTCCATCTGCAGGCACTGTTCCCCAAGCTGGGAATCTTTCTGCTTATCATCCAAACATCTTATGGCCTTGTGCATCTCCTGAGAGAAACCCCCTTCCTTTCTCCAGGCCCAGACCCGCCTCTCTGTGGGCTTTCTCTTTCAGTCACACTTCCCATACCAATGCCAGTGACTTCTAACTCTGCAGGAGTCCCAAGCTCCTCCAAGGCACAGGTTAAGTCTCTGTTCCCAGGTCACAGCACACAGACCCCATCAATAGGTCAGCTTGCTTCTTGCAGACACTGCAGTATGGCAGGCTCATTCCTGAGCTCTTTGCATACACTCTGGGTAACCTAGTAAAAAAGGAAATGGGACAGAGTGACTTGTGCAGGGACAGAACCCAGGAAGTGTGACTGCTTTCTCGTGCATGAGTTCCACCTTCCACTGTGTCCCAGATGGGGCTCTCACTTTTTGGGGTGGACGGAAGTAGCTGTAGGCAGAACCAATGGTTGGGTTAGGCTAAGTGTACCATAGGTGGTTTGTGCCAGAGAAAGCGAGTTCTCAGGCCCCATAGGATAAGCACAAAGGGGGGCTGGTGTGGGCAGGGGCCTAGGGGGCAAGGGCAGGATGGAGGCTGTGTGGAGGCCACATTGCATCAGCCTGCAGCACATGGATATGCCCCCAAGGGACATCCTGAAGAGAATGTATCCACAATACACAGGCACTCAGGATAAACAGGCATCTGTTTTGAATGCCACTTCAATACCAAGGGGAACCCTGGTTTAATCCCAAGACAAGCTAAGAAGTTGATCCCACTAAGTCATCACCTGGGGCATTCATTAGAGAACCCTGACTGCGTCAGAGAGCAATGCCAGCTCCTTGAGTGCTGCCTCTCCTGGGAGCAGAGCATGTGTGCCTCGATTCCCCTGAATGACCGAGGTTCTGTCTGGATTACACTCAGCACCATCAGGCGCTCATTCATTCACTCAGTCTTCCACCCATTCCTTCCTCAGTGGTTGCTGGGAGCCTGCTCTGTGCAGCTACAGCTTCCAGGAGAACCACAGGGAGGGAGGCAGAAGCAGCCTGCTTTGAGGGGCTTGCACTCCAGCCTAGAGTCAGCATCACCACACCACTGCTTTGGCTGTCATCGTCCTTCCTTCTCTACTGCCTCATGCCCCTGCCCCAGGAAATTTCAGGAGCTCTTTTTGGAGGTGATAGTTTTAAAACCATCACCATAAAAAGAAACCAAGTTGTTCTTAAAGCCCACAGAGACCCTGGTGATCAAAGATAGGTCTGTAGTGTCCGCTGTGGAAGCCACAACAGTACCCAACTGGGTCCCTTATCATTCAATAGCTGGTCTTAATAGAGATAGATGGCCACGAACTAAGCTACAATCAACAGAAAAACCCTGTGTATACAGATGAAGACTCAACCAGCCTCTACGTGATCTTGCCTTGTGGCTCTCAGATAAGGGCTTTCCATACCCTACCACCTCCAAAACACACACACACTCTCTCTCACACACATACACGCACACACTCACACACACACACTCACACACATAGACACACACACTCACACACACACACACACTACACTTTATAGTGCACAGCTTAGTTAGTCTCCATCTGTAAAGTGGGGTGGGTAAAAGTTAATTATATCATATCTCTGTCCAAGTTGTTGGGTGAGGTCAGTATTGAAGTGTCCCTCTTAGGGAAGGTCCTACCCAAAAACAAAGCAGCCTTTGTTTCATTTCCCATTAACATTTAAGCAACTCACACTTCTGGGCACTTTGAAATAGATGGGCTCATCCATTCCCATAACTTCCTCAGAAAGACTGCATTTTCTCCCATTCTTAAAAACAAAGCAGCAAGGGGCTGGAGAGATGGTTCAGTAGGTAAGAGAATTTACTGCTCTTTTAGGGGACCCTTGTTCATTCCCAGCACCTACATGGCAGCTCATGCTCGTCTGTAACTCCAGGGCTTCAGACACCCTCACATAGATATATCTGCAGGCAAGACACCAACGATCATTAAATAAAAATAAATCATTAAAAAAAAAGAAGAAGCAGAACCTCAGAAAGTCCATATAACCCATTCAATAAAGCACACTTGAGTGCAAATTCTTAAGTCTCAGCCCCAGCCCCATGCCAGGGACTTAAATCCACTGTGTTGCGGGGGCAGCAAAGCCTAGAGATTGGCACTGGTATCATCACTAAATGTCAAGCTCCAGGAGAGAAGACACATGCACATCCAAGTTCTTTGCTTTAGGTTGGGTGTGCAAGGCTGAAATCCATTGTAGGGTTGAGTAGTCTTAGCTTTCCAGATCAGAGGTCAAGTAGTCTCAATCCCCCGTGAATGGGTAACTCTTCACTACAGGCAGCATGGATGGCTAACTTCACTATAGAAGGTTCATGTGGATGAACCTTTGTTTTGTGTGTGTGTGTGTGTGTGTTTTTTTTTTTTTTTTAAGAAATCTTCTTGCAACAGGCACACCCTTAATCCCAGCACTCAGGAGGCAGAGGCAGGCAGATCTCTGTGAATTCCAGGACAGCCTGGTCTACAGAGTGATTTTCAGGACAGCCAGAGCTACACAGAGAAACCCTGGCTCAAAAAGCTGTCGCCTTCACCCCGCCCCCTGAAAAAAAAAAAAAAAAAAAAAAAAAAAAAAAAAAACCAATTGCTTCTCAGCAGACCGCAAGACTATTAGGTTGGCTTGGAAGAGTCATACATCCTTGGACTGTGATATTCACAGGCATTCCATAAGTATGTGATCAAAGTAATCCGAAGCCACTTGCTTTCCCCACAAATGTGAGGATGCTTGGGGAGAGTACTTACTTGCACAGCTTGTGTTTGCTGATGGTCAGTGTGAATGTGAACCTCCAGTACAGCTTGAACTTCCTGAACTGAACTCATGGGTGGGACATTTCTGACCATGCAATCCTTACCCTGTCCTCAACCATAAATGTGAACATGGCCCAAGTATGTGTTCAAAAGTCATGTGAGCAACCAGCATCCATACATGTGGCTAGGCATGCCCTCCATGAGACAGGAAAACAGTTCCTTACTTTTCGTCTGGATGGCTCAAGTGCAGCATGTGACACAGCATGATCTTCATCTGGCTGCTCCAACCAGCCCACTGCCAGGGGTGCTACAAAATTTTCTTAGGGTACTCCACCTTGGGATAACATCTTAAGCCAGAGTAAATGAACACACACACACACACACACACACACAGAGAGAGAGAGAGAGAGAGAGAGAGAGAGAGGGGAGAGAGAGAGGAAGATAGTTCAGTAAGGTGTTTGCTTGAGTTTGTTCTTAGGACCCATGTTAAAAAGAAAGGAAGGAAGGAAGGAAGGAAGGAAGAAAAAGAAAGGAAGAAAGAAGAAAAAAAGAAAGGAAGGAAGGAAAAAAAGAAAGAGAAAGAAAAGGCTAGATGTAGTGGAATGTGTTTATAGCCCCAATACTGGGGAAACAGAGGCAAGCACATCCCTGGGACTCACTGGCTAGTTAGCATACTTGGCAAGTTCCAGGCCAGTGAGAAACTCTGTTTCAAATAAAGAAAAAATGGTAGACAGCACTAGCAGAAAACACCTGAGGTTGTTCTGGTCTCCATGCAATGCACACACATGCAGACATATGCCACATATGTATATGTGCACACTCACATAACAATCAATCATAATGTTGCAAAATCTTTGAGTGCAGAGCTAGTCTCCCTGGGTTCAAATCCCAGCTCTGCCTCTGGTTAGTTCTGAGCTTCGATTTATTCATCTGGAAAATGGAGATAAGTTAGAATATCCATGTCACATGGTTGGATAGTTAATGAAGATTAGAATAAGATCTGGCTCATAGTTAATACGATTTGCATTTATCATTCCCCTTGGCATCATGCCCATTATAATCGTATTTTATTTTATATAATTACACAATTAATATCTGTTCTCTGTGCTGCACTGGCTCTGCAGAGGCAAGAGCTGGGCTCTTCTCATTCTCACACTCCCAGGATCCAGCAGAGAGCTCATCCTTGGTGATCGCCCAGAATGTAGTCAATGAAACAAATGAGCCTTGTTTGAACACTAAGCTGTTATGTGGCCTCAAGCAGGCCACTGCCCTCACCTGTAAAATAAGTACTTGGATGTTCCAGTCCATTCCTGCGGCTCTGGGGATCACTAATAGACTACAATCCTATACCCTTCAAAAATGAAGAACATGGCCAACACATTTTGAAAACTTACAACAGGGTCCGCACCAATTCATTTTATTAATCTTGACCCTAAGAGCTCAGCAGCTGTGGACTGTCTGACAAAGAGTTTGGGGAGCCATGTCCTTCTTCGGAAGAAGTCAAGGGGACAGCTGCTGGGGGCAGCCGCTGGCAGGCCTTGAGCACAGTGAGAACTGCCTTTCATAGGAAAAGTTTGCACTCCTGACTCAGCCACCTTTCACCCCTGCCCAAGCAGCAGGCCATGTGGTGAGGGGCAGGGATAAAGGGCTCACTCTTCCCTTTCCAAGTGCAGGAAAGCCCGCCCCTGGATAGGGAGTCACTTCCCAAAATAGACTTCCTAATACAGTTCCAAAGAGGCCAAGAGTCAGTCACTACCAAGATCAAGATGGACTTACACCATAGCCTCTTGGTGACTGCTTTAAACACACACACACACACACACACACACACACACACACACACACACAAACACACAAAGAGGAGTCAATAACATCCCTCATACACTCCTTTCAAGAGGTAGAAACTAGTGATTTATCTTATCTTAAATCATTAGCAGCAAGCAGCTTGTGATTTGACCCAGAGGTTGGTAACTTCCTGTCATGAGCTCTCAACAAAAGCTCCTTTATTCTGGCCGGAGCTCTTGGTACCCAGAGTTTGTACCCAGCATGCTTGGGGCCTTGCATGAAGCCAGATGTGAAGTGTGAAAGGTGAGGTGGATGCTGCTGTGCAGTCTCTGCCTCTCCCAGCACTACACAGAAGTTTTCATCGGCCAATTAGTCATTAGGCCAAGCAGGCACTTCCACTAACCCCCTTCAATGGTCTCTTATACCACGGAGTAAGCAGTCACTGACTCATTTGCAATTAGCTGACCTAATGGGACCGAACTTTCCAAGCTGGTAACAGAATTGCATTGTCACACTGGAGATATTTTGAGCCCGTCTCATCTCCAGGCAATTGCCCTTTTCATTCTATGACACAACCTCTGGGCCCAGCTGTGCTGAGGGTCGTCGATGAGGCACAACAACGACAGACACTCTTGCTATTGGTGGGAAGACATTCCACCTACCCAAGCTGAGGCCAGAGAGGACAGCAGGCTTCCAATAGCCTGGGTCAGCATTCCAAGGCCTAGCTCTGTGGAGGAGAGCTCTTGATGATGGAAGATGAGGGTTTGCAAATTGTAGGTAGGCCAAGTTTAGGTCAGTCAGGCTGATATGGGGAAATTGTGTCACCCAGGTCTGGATTTTTGTGGTGCTCTGTGTCACCAGGCATGACTCCAACTTTTCCCATTTCTGCAATACAAGTTTAGATTTCATGCCCCTAAGGTTCTTTCTATGAGGAATGTCCCAGTGTACATTTACCAAATATGATTAGCACCTGTTAAGTACCAGGCACTGTACCAAATTATGGGGACATACTCTGAACAGAAGAAAGCCCCATAGGGAGCATCTGAATGTAAGCCAGTGCGGGAACAGCTGCTAGGCAGGGTGGGGGCATTTGGTTTCTCGAGATGGGATGTCCAGAGAAGCCGCACTAGGGTGTTAATGTCTGAGCGGATAGCTGGAGTGGGGAAGAGGCGGGTGTAATGGGAACTGGGGAAAAGGGTAGTTTAGGAAGGGCCTATGGAGGCACCTGCTCAGTGTAGCCCTAGAGGAAAAGGCAGACCTCTGTGCCAGCACAGTCCCAAAGTGGGGCCAGGAAGACATGCATCCAGCTGGTTCGCTTCGAGGAGCATCATTGATGTTTTTTAATATTATCTTTTCAGTACATCTGGGTTCTTGATTTTTTTTTTTTTTTTTTTTTTTTTTTTTTTCTTCTTCTGAGAATCTCCATTCACAGGCCTGAGGACCCACTATGGCTCCGCCCAACAGTGTGCTGGGGCCTCCTTCTGCACAGCACATGGGTCCCTGCCAGAGCTGCAGATCTGATTTGGGATTATGAAAAGCTTGGCATGCTGTCTGCAGTCTCCCTGGCAACAGCATTTGGTCCTTCTCCCTGGAGTTCCCAGACACCTCCTACACCCTCTTTCTTGACTGTTCTTTTCCTGTTCAGCAGCTGTCCTTTGCTCTGTAAGCATGAGGTCTTGCCTGAGGGGAAAGCTCTCAGTACTCCACCTCATACCCCATTTCTTGAGTTCTGAGTAGCTAGCTCTCTTCATATATTCCAAGCCTCCTCTGCCTCCTGCTTCCCTGATTCCCCTGGGACCCAGCTCCAAGAGGCAGAGAGACTGCTTTGCCCACCCAGACTCTGGGAACAGCCATTGTTGACAGCCAGCACTTCTGCGGTCTGTCTAGACTTCAGCCTGTCTGCCTCCCTCACAGGAGGCACCCCCCCACACACACACCTAATCCCTGGGGGCTCCACTCTCCAACTGTCAGGGCAGACAGATGGGGGGCAGAAGAATCCACACACCCTCTCCTCCATGCTGCCCTTGTCATCCTTGTTCATTGGCTCCGTCCTTGCTGGCCCTAAGATAGCAAGGATGTCTGTGCTGGCTGGCCTGCAAACATGAACGCCAAAGGGAGCCTTAGCTCCTCCCACCCCTCCCTTGTGGTCACTCTAACAGGGCCTTGTTTCCATAGCCGTCCTTCTGACAGTGAAGAATGTAAAAGAAGGCCCCTCTCACTGCTAATTCTCTCTAGAGCTTCTCCCTCTGCTCGTCTCTTCTGAACTCCTTCCTCTGGATTCACACAGATCCCAGTCATTTACCATTTACTGCTTGCATATCTTCCAGGACTCCAGCGAATGTGAACCCAAAACAAAGATGTTCTTTAAATGACAGGCACTAATAATAACCTTTGAAGCTGGTGGCTTGCTTTCTCTTCAAAAGCCTGCTTGCGGCTGCAGTTCATGATTGAATTCAGCTGTAAAATGCTATTTTTAATGTCATTGTGTTTTACCTGGTAGTGCTGTCTTCTTGGGTTGATGGAATAGGACTTATCACTTCTCCATAGGTAACAATAAAACTCACACCCATTCAGCAATCACACTTAACTGGCATACTTGCTAGTGTGTATGCACAAAGACACACCCATCACCACCAGCACCAGCCACCACCACTCACCAGCCACCACCACCCACCATCATCCACCACCACCACCTAGTGCCAGCACCAACACCACCACCACTACCACCACCAGTACCACCCCCTCCCACCCTCTGTATTCCCAGCTGGGGATGATCCTCTCTTTGAATTTGACTTCTCAGAATATTGCAGACTCACAGTTGACAGTTAAATCACTCTGTGTGAGAGGAATACCAACCAGCCTCTGGCTATGAGAACCCCTGTGACTCTCCTACTGATTGCTTCCTTGGACCAAAGTGCACGTTTGCACAGAAGCTCACTGATTCCTTTCCATCAACTCCTGTGAATAGCATCTTGCAATTATTAGCTTCAATAAGATTGCCTTGGGTGCAGGCAGCTTCAAGCTAACTTTAATTTTGTGGACTTTCTTTCTCCTCCACAAGTACCCTTTTAATAGCCCCACTTCCAGGATGGAACCTTGTTTGATGAGCAGTACCCCCAGGCTGCATCCTACCCCAGTCACTCCCCGCTGGCCAGAGGTGCCAACAGCCAACGCATGCTACACAAGCCCGTCTGTGCATTCCACGAGGTACGGAAACTCTAGTGACATGTACACACCCCTGACCACGCGCAGGAATTCTGAGTACGAGCACATGCAACACTTTCCTGGCTTTGCTTACATCAACGGAGAGGCCTCCACTGGATGGGCTAAATGACTGCTTTCATAGGAATCCATATTTAATATTAATAATTAATAATAATAAACCCAATACCCACTCTCAAGAAGACTTTATCTCTATACATGATAACTCGCGGGCTGTTCCTAAGCATCCATTTTCCTAATGAACAAGAGGATGTCAACATGAGATGAATAGACTTTAGTTCAGAAACGGAACTTACTAAAAGTCACTGGGATTGGGCTCCTGTAGCCAAGCCAGGCTTGACTGCTTCTATAGAGCACTACTGTGGGCAGGCCAATCTGTGCCTTTCCCCTCTGTTCCATGACCTTGCATGGCAACCACTCCCTGTAGGGTACTTATTTTCTTGTTGACAAAGCTCTTTAGTCTTGAAGGATGGATACTGGAGCCAAAATCTGGTTTGTGTTCTTGGATTGGCACACCATTTACCAAGAGCATTTGCCTTGCCATGTCTGTCATCTCACTGTACAGTTACCAGCCCTCAGACATGTTATTCACCTCCCTACTTCCTGCTGGTGTCATCCCTACTTCCTGCTGGTGTCATTCCTACTTCCCGGAGTCCTAGGGCTAAATGGAAGTTCCTGAAAATGCTAAGTCACCTGTTCACTCACTTTTGCCATAGTACCTGCATTGTCTTGGAATGTAAGCACTGTTTTGAGGGACCGAAGAGGCCTGTTGTGTATTGCCTTTAGTTGATTGATGTCTGTAGGGACCAGTTCTTCTATGAACAAGGATTTGTCCTAAGTTTGCACAATGGCTAGCATCAGCAAAAGGCAGGAGAGGGTTTTCTTAAGTTCTGTGTGAAATGGCACTAAGTAGCATTCTCTGCCCTGGTGCTTTGTGAAGCTGGATGGATCAAACTTTCACTTAGCAAGCACCAAGTGTGAAAACAGCTGTCCTGGTTCCTTCATAAGACTAGAATACTTTCCGACACTTTGCTAGAAAAAATTCAAAGCTGTGCCTTTGAGTCTATACTATACTGTGTATGTGTGGAAATAAAAAAATGTATTGTACTTTGGGAAAAAAATTTCGTAGGTATTTTTTTGTCAGGTTTGTAGCTATTTGTAAGGTTTGTTAGAGATTAACATAGGTTTTCTTTCTGTATTATAAGATGCACCAAGCAATTATGGTGGACCTATTACCCTATGGGTAAGAAATAAATGGAAATATGACATCGGATGTTCTAGCAAATGTTCTGTAAATAAAATGTTTGATCACACCACCCAGTGTGATAATCATGTCTACAGCTAAAATGGAAATAGTTTTATCTGTACAGTTGTGCAAGATATGAATGGTTTCACACTCAAATAAAAAGTATTGGAATGACCAGCTTCCATTTGTTTGTTTTCCATTTGTACTTGATATGCCAGGTGTGTGTCTACAATATAAATAACAGTGTTAAATTTGGGGGACATGAGTAGCAGAACAAAACTAAAAGGTCTTACTGGGTGTGGTGGTACATACCTATAATCCCAGCATGCAGAAGGCCAAGAGTGGAGAATAGTGAGTTCAAGGCCAGCCTAGCTCTGGTCTTAAAAAATAAAAATAAACTAAACTAAAATAAATGGAATCAAGCAAATAAACAAGAAAAGCCTTTTATGACTGTGTGGTTTTGTTTATTCAGTTCCCTATCAACTTGCCATACAGTAACCATACCATTTGGATAGGCCCACACAGCATGAGTATAGTGCAGATAGCCCATTGAAGGCTTGTAGAGGACCCGTTCTACAAACTGGGATCTGCCCTGTGTTTGCCTTCTAGCTCTTGCAGAGAGTATCTTCCTCAGCACCAGCATCATTAAGTGTCCTCTGGTACCAAGTTGATTATGCTTTGATGATCAATGGGTGTAAATGTATTTCAAGTGTCTTGCTTTAATGAAAATAAACAGAAGAGTGGATTGCTGGATATATAACAGGAATAACACTCTTCTCCAGCACAATAGTTTTGATTCTGAGGCTGGAAACTATGGGGTGCAGTAGTGTGTTTCCATTTTGTCCAAATGTTGACAATCTAGGAGCTCCAGAAGCCTATGCACAAGTGACCGTGTTAACCCCAACCTATGAGAATGTGACAACTTAATTTGCATTTTGAAAGATTTATTTTTAAAGGCAAGCCTTTGTGTGCTATTACATAACATGCTTATACCTGAAAGATGATTTTAAGATGGAAATTATTTATGTTACACATAGCCTCCCTTAAATATATTCAGCTGTGGTTTTTTTTTTTTTTTTTTTACAAAATAGAACATAGATGTTGGATTGCATTCTTTCATGGTAAATTAGTTTGACCTTTAGTTCGCAATCCATTAGCTTTAAATGATGAAAGCAAGAGAGAGAATGAATGAAATTTAGAATTTAGCTACTGTTGAGAATAAACCTCAAGATGACATCCCTGTTGGTGTCTCAGACTTCAAAGCAAGTGCCATATAAACAAAGGTGTGGTATGTCTGACTTTCACTTAATGAGCACCAAAACAAAAGTAAAGACAAAACCCAAATAACAACAGCAGCAAACTACAAGTCATTATCACATTCTCTAGCCAGGTAACAGAATAAACAGCAGCCATTTACAAATAACAGCCACAAGCTCATTAGCTGCACAGCCCTTTAGGTGAAAAGTTGTCACCATTAATAAGAACCTGGGGCTGAGAGATAGAGAAGCGGTTCCATGACCTTTGCAGGTGGGCATATGCATGCCCCTCACAGCACAACCAGGAATGAGGGACACCAACAAAGAAAGCGGCTTGAGATGAGGGCCAGTGAGCACAGGGCATCCTCTTTGGGAGCTAAGGGCAGGTTTCATGTTCCCAATTGTGCTAAAATCTTCACTTTAAGAAATAGAAAGGCTCTGATTAAGAAAGGAAATAGCGGTTGGGGGGGGCAGGATTCAAGGTACCATCTCTCTGTGGTGGCTCTCCTCCAGTCACCTGAGTGCGGACAGGCAAGGCTGGCAGCTGGCTGTGGGGCCAGTCAGAGGAACAGCAAAAGACACCCTCAGCACCTGTCCTTTGCCAGGCCTCTCGTCATCCCTCATCTAGGTTGCCCTCAGAGAAGGCAACCTACACAAATCAGGGACGTTTGCCGTTGAGTAAGCTCCACCATGGGGTTGAAAGCACAAACCATTAGGGAGCCAGTGTGTCACTGTCATATGTCATACAACCTCCTCATCCCGGACCTGAAGCAGGCTTGTTAACTGGCACTGAAATTCAAAGAGCACGGCGAGCAGATTTGGGTGAGGAGAGTGGGCAGAGATTAGATTGGCAGCTGGGCAGTGATTGAGGGAGGCTTCTCAGGCTGGTGTCAACACTCAGACTGAGGGGCACGTCTGCAAGCTCAGCTGGTACACCTGCTTATCACCTCCAAAGACCCCACCACTGCCTCCTATCCACCCCCTCCCACCAGGGGTCTTTCACAACTTTCCCTGTGAACAGGACTGGCTTTGACATCTGCCTTGAGAGCTGTCAACGTGTCTTCAGTGGAGCTGGAGATGTTCAGGGAGTCAGACCCCAGGCTCTGCTCCTCTCTCGGCCGACAGTGAGATTTTAAAATATTAAACCTGGGGAAAGGGTGTGACATAAAGATGCTATGATAGGCAGAGGGGGAAGGAAGGAGTCGCCACGGGTCTTCAGAAGCTCAGGAGAAAAACTCTCTGAAATTAAACGGGTTAGAGATAGAAGCAAATGCCTTGAATGTGTAAATCACCAGAAGCTTAAAACACGAATGATGGATATTCTTACTGGATTGTCCTTATTAAGGTGAAGCTGTGGTGAGTGAGGCCAAATCCTGGTCCCACCAAGGTCAGGCTGTCCAGGGACATTCCTCCTCTAGGAAGGATGTGACAGAGTGAACCGTGGACAGCAGGGCTCTCTGGGTTACTATATGTATTTAGGGTTGAGAAACGTGACCTTTCCACTTCAACACTCCAAGATTCAGGGACCTACCTCACAAAAAGTTCTAGGTTTCTTCTTTCTGTGGGGTTCCAGTGTATAGAGAGGGTAGAGCCATTAAGTATGCTAAATCCCCACTTCTCCACAGACCCCACTGTGCTATTGCTCAGCGATCAAACCTTCCCCTCTGTGCTGTGCCCCGCACTGCCATTCACACCAGTCCCTGTCACTTTGCTTTACTCTCCTAGCCTGGAACTTACTTCACAGCTCTGGTTCCTCGGCAGCCTCCCCCAGGCTCAGCCAGCCTGGACACTGTCCCGGGGAGACCCCTCCTCTTCCTGGGAGGTCAGGGCCTGCTGTGCCTCACCAGCCTCCTTCCGGGGTTTTCCCCCCATTCTCTTCCTGAACCTCAACCCCTCCCCAACACCCCCACATTTTGCTGCTGCCGGTGTAGGCGGGGCAGAAGGCGTGGGCCATGGAGCTAAGAGCTGTTGCTAGGAGTGTGGGTGATGAGAGGTGGTGGGCGAGAGAACCAGGAACTCCCCAGTCTTCCTCCCATTTCTCATTACAAATGCTTCAAGAGCTAACGCCAGCGCTTTGGCATCCTTTGTGGAAAAGAATCAGGTCTGACCATGACAGCAGGTACAAGAGAAATAAGTTTCAGAACCTGCTGCCGGGCCCATGTATGGTATTTATAACAGTATAACAGAAAAGTCTGAGGAAACTTGGAAATAAGTTTATTCTCAAGAAACTGCCAAACCCTCCTCTGAAGGTCGGTATCCAAAATGTCCTGGCACAAGACTAACCTCTAAGAGAACAGAAATAGATGGTGTTTTGGGGCTGAAACACAGCCAAGGCAAGACACTCATCAGAGGAGGCCTCTGCCTGACTCTTAGCTCATACTCTGGTCTCTGAGAGCTCTGAACCCCACCCATGCTTGGGGGTCCACACTAGATACATCATGTCTGCAATCTAGCCACCTCCCGGCCTGGTAGGTGGTTACCTCACCTCAGTTCACACCCTTGTCAGGGGCGCACAGCTTTCTACCACAGCACCCAACCTCCTTCCTTCCTCCTCTTGTTCCCATACCACCCTACCCTGGTCCTCTCCTCTAGGCGGCTTTGCAGCTTCTAAATCAAGCTTGACGGAGGAGGTAATACAACCAACCCACTGGGGTCCAAGAGACACTCAGAAGTTCTGGGAAACTGTGCTTGTTAAACAAAGGCAGTTCCTAAGCAAGGCTCCAGATCTTCCCGCCTACCCAAGGTGGCATTCCACACACTGTAAAAGAATGACAGTTTTCCTCTGTCATTTTCCAAGGCCAATACACAATCAAGGACCAAGATGTGGTTATTCTATAAAGAAACAGGAACAAAGGAAATCAATAGTAATTTTTTTTTTTTTTTCCTTTTCTCTTTTTAAATCAGGTCTCAGGGGGATTTTTATTACCAGGTTGAAAAAAAAAAAAAAAAAAAAAAAAGCACCACAGGAGAGGAGCAATGAGCCAAGCATTCACTCAAATGAAGTCATTGGGGTGTGGGGGAAGTAGGACAGGGCTTGGCTACCTCTTGCTGTTAAGGTCACTACCCTTTGACAGAGGTGGCCTCTGACCTCCACAACCCTACAATTCTATTTTGACTGAT